GTCGCTCCATGCCGTGTCGAGGAGGTGATAGTAGGAGCAGGATTTGTCCAAACGTCCTGGCGCAACTCCAGTGAGGAGGAGGTAAGCTACGCTCGTATCTTATATATCTCGAGATATGCGAACCATCATAGCATCGAGTTGTGCTCCTGCCGAAAAACGCAAGAGTACGTCATATTTTATATCTTGCTCTAACACGTGCGAATCCGGGATGCGCGGCTGGTGGGTGATACGCACCCGGTCAGAGAAAAAGGATGTCCAGGCCCGCACCCCCCAGTGGTCTGAGTCTCGGCCATTTCACCCCCCCCCCCCCCCCTGCCCCTCTCGATCCTCGCTCCCTCCTCCCATCCCCCTCTCCTTCCTCCTCCCCTTCCTCTCTCTCTCCCCACCCCTCTCACCCTCCCTTGCATCACCTGCAGAAGACTCGGATGTTCCCCTTCAGCTCCTGCACAGTGTTGTGAAGTTTCCGTCGGACGACAAGGTCCTGTCGACGCGCTTCCTCCAGCCTATGGCGAAAGAAAATGAGCAGCCCTCCTCCTCCTCCCCCCTCGCCCTCGTCCTCATGCTCGATCCCATCACCCTAGTCTCCAACAGTCCCTACTCCTCCCGCTCTCCTCCTTCGTCCTCGTCCTCCTCGTCCTCACTTGGCATTCTGCTCCCTTAGGCTGCTCACTTCCTCCGCCAGTCTCGTCAGTTCCTGTAGCGGTACAACTCAGTCATGATATCTCATCAAGATTCTCCTCGCCATCACCTGCTTGCACCTCCACACCAGCGTCACCCCTTCCCCTCCTGCCCGACGAACTCGCTCCAGCTCCCACGTCACCTTCGATCCCGTCAGATTCCGAGCCTTCCCTCCACTTTCCCTCCCCTCCTCTCTCTCTCTTCCTCCTCTCCCTCCCTCCCTCCCTCCCTCCCTCCCTCCTCGTCTCCCTCTCCCTCTCCCTCCTCCTCCCTCGCTCACCCTTGCAAGCTGCCTGCGGACTCTGCGCATCTCCTTCTTGGCCACGTGGACTGATCTCTCCGCGGACTCCTTTTCTGCCTCCAACCGCTTCACCTGAGCGTTCAACGACATGAGCAGAGGAAGGGAGCGGGAGGACACGGGGGGAGGAGGAGACGGGGGGAGGAGGAGATGGGGGGAGGATGGAAGACGAGAGGAGGGTAGTGAGAAGAAAGGAGAGAAGGAAACGGAACGAGACGGAATGACAAGGGAGGGCAAGAAGGAAGAGAGGAAGGGAGAGAAGGGGACTGGAGAGGAGAGGATGGGATGGGATGGGATGGGATGGGATGGGAGAGTATTTTGCCTCCTCTGTCTTTGCTGCGATGATCTCTTTCATTCGTTCCAGCTCCTCGTTGTTCTGATCCACTCCAACTGAGTTTCCGGAGGACGCAAGTCTGTCCCTCAGCCGGCTGATCTCCAGCGACTGCTCCTCGATTGCTCCCTTCAGCCGCATGTTCACCTGCACCCCCGTCACTTCATCGTACACGCACATCCTCCTCCCTCTCTCCTCTCGCCCCTTTCGTTCCATCTTCCCCTTCCTATTTCTCCCCCTTCCTCCTCCTTCAATCCATCTTGATCTCGTGTGCTCTGAATTCTGTATTCCTCTAATTCCTCTGGCTCCTTCTCCCTCTCTCTCCTCCTCCTCTCCTCTCCTCTCTTCCTCTCTGTCTACCTGTTCAGCAACTGCTCTTGCGTCCTGCGCATCCTCTAACTCCCGCTCCAGCTTGTCCAGCTCCAGCTCCATCGCCATGTTCGCTGTGTCATCCACACTCCCCTTGATGTCTTCGTTCAGCTGCATCGCACTCGAGTCTCCCTCCTGCTCATGTCCAGGCCCATCGAACGCGTTGTTCCTCTCCAGGACCTGCTGGATTTTCGTGTCCAGGGGGGAAAGTGGAGTCTTTTGAACCATCATGATGTTTTCTGCAGATGCAGACGACAGTGGCATGCAGACGATGATGAGCAGGAGCAGCAGCCATGGCAAGGACAGTCTTCGAAGCGACATGCTGCTGCTGCCCCACCCGTCAGGGCAGTTCACCTTCCCCTGCAGAGTTGTGCCAACCACGGAGCCCCTGTGGCGACAATGGCGCGACAGGTCCAGTGCAGAGCGTCTCTGAGGGCAAGCCAAGGCGTTGGGGCGACTTTCTCCTCGCTTCGAAGACGATGACAGCATGTCGAACTTGTGCAGTGCGAGGTGGGAGGAGAAGAGGGCTTCTGATAGTAGACGAGGAAGGGGAACGGGAGTGGCTTCGTACACGGTCTGACAGATCTCGATGAGTCGTGAGAGGACGGGGAAGAAAGTTGTGCGGGGGGAGGCACATATGCTGAGAGACGAAGAGGATGGTCCCCTGTCGTGGTGCAAGGGATGGCTGCATGCCAAGTAGCACAGCGATGGCGGGAGGTGGGCCACGAAGGAAGGGGGAGCGAGGGATGGGATGGGGAGCCAATCAAGGATGATTGGGAGAGAGAGATGGAGGAAAGAGGCGAGGAGGGAGGAGAAGAGGAGAGGGATAGGGAGGAGGGAGGAGGAGGATTGCTCCTCCTCTTCCTCCTCGAACCACCGCAACATGGGCGCTCTAGTAGAGCCATTAGCGGGATTCTGCTAGTGTAGTGGGGTACGTCGCCAATCGGGTGGGTATTTCTTGCTTGTGGGTAGGTGGACAATTTTGATACGGGTCCTAGAACATCAATTTGCAGTGAAAGACAGGGTACTCATAGGACCTTGAATAGATTGACCAGGGTACTTTAGAATTGAAGGGGGTGATCATCAGAATTGGAGGGGTAGTAGATTTGAATAGCAAGGAGATTTCGGTGTGAGGGGAGGGGTAGTAGGGGTACTAGGATTGGAATCATTGGGGTGGTGCCCTAGGAAACTAAGGTCAATGGCTGGGTGGGGTACTTTTACACTCATGGAGGGGTAGGGTGGGGTGAATATTGGGCATCGTCAATGGTAAGAACGGAGGGGGGACGCGTGAAGGCGACACATAAGGAGAGGAGAGGAGAGGAGAGGAGAGGAGAGGACATGGCCCGAGGTTGAAGGACGTGAGATGGTATGAGAGAATATGGTATGGCAGGGTAGGACATGGCGTGAGAGGGCAGGACGGGACGGGGCAGGACAGCAGGGCAAAGACACGGCGTAGCATGACTGGGCAAGGTACAGAGGGTGAGGTCAGGAGCAGAACAGTGAGAGAGACGAGAACGTGCTGCTGTCGCAAGAAGAGAAGGTAGGGGGTATATGCAGTAGTGGCGGAGAGAGACATGGAGGTTAAGGGGGACTAGAGAGGAGGGACCGGGAAAAAGAATGGCAAGATAACGATAATGAGTTGAGCTCAACTAGTTTTGGGTGACGACTAAGGTCATGTTGGGAGAACAGAACACTCTGAGTGTAGAGCGATGACAGCAGAGAGGGCATGAATGTGTGTCGAACAACCAGATGGTCCAAGACATGCAAGTTGATTGACCTGGAAGGACTGAGGAGGATTTGTATCAAGTGAGCAGAGGACTAAAAAGAGCATAAGAACATGAGAGGAGTTCCGATAGAGCGGGGAACATTCAGCAGTGATCTTGTCTCACTTGAAGCTGCAGTCTGCAATCTTCAACTTTCAGAGCTTGCTAATCGTCCTCCTCCTCACCATCTGCACCTGCGCCTACGTCAGAGCGAATTTTCCTTCGATCCTCGATAGAAACAAGTCCGGGTGAGTGAAGTTGGAGAGGACAACGATGGATGATTGGTGCTTGTGATGACTGGTGGAGGGTTTTCTCGCTGATCGTTCTTGCGGTCCATCATTGCAGAATGTACAGCTGTGTGTATTCGCTGATGGGTGGGTGTGCTGCAGATTTCTTGGGTTGTTTTGGAAAGCTGCGAGGATAGGAGAGCGGTTATCACCCTGGGTGTCGGCGAGTTGTATTGCGATGGCGTTCTCAGTGTTGTTTCTGAGTTGATGGGAATGAAAGCAATGAATTGAACAATGGCAGGAGGAGGAGGAGGAGGAGGAGGAGGAGGAGGAGGAGGAGGAGGAGGAGGAGGAGGAGGAGGAGGAGG